ATTTGCAACCCCGTCCGATGCATACACCCATTGTAAGGAACAGCGTTCCGCAAAGGCTTTGTATCCAAAATCTCGACAACCAGGAGCCAAGACACTGTTTAGTAGTTTGCAGTCACGGAAGGCGTTATCGGAAATGCCTACAACAGTGGCCGGCAGGTGGACAATGCGGAGCTGTCGGCAATTTTGCCAAGCCTCTGCTCCAATGAGCCTGATACCTGACTCTACACTGACGTGTCGCAGACGTGGAACCCCTGCAAAGGCCCCTTCTGGGACGATTTCTTCTGGGTTCATAGGGACATGAACGGCTAGCGGAACATGCTGGATAGGGCAATCTTCGAGTTGTTCTTGCGATGACAGGATAACACTGCAGTTCTTGAAGACAATGGTGTATGCCATGCCTTGCTGTAGCTTGTCCCAGATTGGGTCCTCAAGGTATGTCTGTGTGGCAGTTTGCAGAAAGTCGATGGAGCACCCAAACACTTTGAGATCAGTAACTGAGGCCAGATAGTCCATAACCTGGTCCTCTAGATCCTCAAATCGGTCAAACTTTGCAACACTGAGAGAGACCTTAAAAGTCACCCCCGAAAGCGTGGTCAGCACCAGGGAGCATTCCATGACCGGCTCCATTTCAGGCAAAGTGCTAATCATGGATGAATCGTCGAGCTCCATGTGTGGCAGACTATTTGCAATTATTGTTTGAGCCAAAAGTGTCTGAGTCTGCTCATGGGCTGTTCCTAAGGCCAGGGATGTTTCCTGAAGATAGATGCTAAGGCACCCACCTTGAGCCTCTTGTGGACTGGCGTGATGTTAGGAGTACTCGTGGTATAGCTCCTCGTCAAAAGCGTCCGAATCGGGTCCTTCCGCGGGGAGCAGCTCTACCCACAGGGGTTTTTCAAATTTGTCACACATAAAGAAAGCATTGTGCTCTGCCTGCACCCACTGTTCAATGTCACCCCAATCCAGGGGGGTAAATCGTTGCAGTTGCTCACACCCGCAGAATGCTCGGTTGCCTATGTCACTGAGCTCCGTCGGGATGACAACTTCTTGCAGCGCAACACAATTAAGGAAAACTTCTTTGCCAATTTGCGTGAGTCGTGGCGGAAGCCATATACAATTTAAGGCTACACAGTGGGCAAATGTGGAAGAGAGTAGGGCTGTGATTTCTGTGCCCATGAGGTTGACCTCCACAAGGCTATTGCAATTTTCACAGGCCCGCGGCCCGATATTGTGGAAATCACTCGGCAAACAGAGCTGTTCAATGCCTGCGCCACAAAATGCGCCTTCAGGCAGCGCTCGAGGTTTGTTAGTATGGTCCATGTCAAAGGTGATGGTTGTAAGCGTGAGGCAACTCTCGAATGCATATTTGCCTAGCTGTGCCCCTGGTGCCAGGACGTTGCTATCCTCAGTTTCGTGACTGACCCCAACTCGACCTAGGGAGCAGCACTCCGCAAACACCCTTCGGCTGTATTGGACACACCCCGGGGCGGCCACCTCTCGCAGCACATAGCACCCCTGGAAAGCCCCTTCCGCAAGACTTGTGACCGAGGGTGGAAGCTTGACAATTTGCAGTTGCTGACAACTCTGCCAGGCTGCGAATCCTACATGTTGAATGCCCATTGCCACTTCTACGTGCCGGAGCAAGGGTGCAGCATAGAAGGCTCTGTCAGCAATTTCCCCACGCGGGTTGGCCGGGACACGTACAGCTTTGGGGTAGCTTTCCTTTCCGTCTTCCTGGAACTGCCAGATGGAATGTCCGTCTACCACGCAGGGACGAACTACAATTTGTAGTTGCGGTCGCTGCAGGAGCACCGTGCGGAATGCCTCTGGCAGGGGTTGCTGCGTGTGAAGGTCAAGCAAATCCAATTCACAGCCGAAGACATCTAAATCAGAGACTGTCGGCAGAAAGCAAAGAATGTCATCTTCCAGCTCTGCCACATCCTCATACTGGGAGAGGTCTGCTTGCATTGCATATTCCGTACCTGCTATTGTAACCAACTCGAGGCTGACCTCATAACGGTCTTGGTGAGGCGGCATTGTCGCGTAGGCGGTAGTCCGAGCGTGTTTGCTCGATTTGCTTGTGAGCCAAACAACTGAGATAACGGATATGTAGCCATTGCGAAAACCATGATGGCAATTAGGCCACAAGAAAGAGGGTGGCTAAGGCTACCCATCTCATGGAGAAGGTCGAGCGACTAGGAGACGGTCGCTGTGTGGGAGGACTCCTACTGGCGACTACCCTACTGCCACCACCCATAGGGCGAAGGCGATGGGGGAGGCCTACTGTGCCAGGAAGACCCTGCTGCAGACGAGGAGCTTCCCGCTCCTGGAGGGGGGACAGTACGGCGAG